AAGAGGTGCTTCTTATAAGCCTGGGAGGATCCAGAAAGCAGGATATATCAGGTTGTAGAGAAGGGGCCTGCTGGGCTTACTGCCTGCAGTCACCTCATTGCTTGGGGGAGAAAAAACCCTTTGTTGGACATTAAACACACAAAGTAATGGTTTTGTTGGACACCAGTGGTTTTTCTGCAAGCTGCAGAACTTCACAATCTGATGTTTACATGCGTGGATGTGTATTCACTTCAGCAAACATTGCCAACTAACATTTTGTTGCCACGCAAGCCGAGTGCAATTTTGCAACTTATTGTAATACATGAATAGGTAGTGTTGTTATGATCTCGAGCAGTCAGAGGCTCTTTGAAGCACAGAATAATGAATGCTCAGACACAATCGTTTCCTGGAGCCAATTCCAGTGCAGCTTCACTAATTTTGGCAACTTTTTGTTGCTTTCAATGGACTACACAAACTTTTTTCATTTTTCTCCAAAGGTTATTTCATCTTAAAACACACATCAGAGGGAAAAATACAGCCTGTCTCAGTCCAGCCCATGTGTCCTTAAAAGAAATCAAAGTAACCCTGACCCCTAGAATCTGAGTGCTTACATTATGTTAATGGCAAATTACTTTTTTGAGTCTACACTCACTGCCATGCAACAATGCTCCAGAATAGGACGCTCCATGTATGCGTGCAAACAAACCTTTTTGGGGATTTTCTGTGATGGTCAGTAGCACCCTACACACACCTTTCCATCTTGCAGCTCTGTTATAATGTACACTCACTGCACCTGTTCAGCTGCTAGGTAATGCAAATATCTTAGTCTGCCAGTATAACTGCAAGCTACTCGATGCATTTAGGCATTTTAGACATGATCAAAATGACCTGCAGAAATTCAAAGTGAGCGTAAGCGTGTGAGTGTGTTTGAGTGATTTGAGGAACTTTGAATGGCATGTTTGTATGTAAAAGATCCAGTGAGCAGCAGTTTGGGCAAAAATACCTTGTTGATGCCTGAGGTCAGAGAACAGAGGCCACACTGCTTCGATCTGATAGGACAGCAACGGTAACTCAAATAACCAGTCGTTAAAACCACGGTGGTGTGGCGTAATGGTGTTGTTGATATTTTCTTGGCACGCTTTAGGTTCATTCATAGCAAGTGAATATTGTGTGGATGCCAAAGCCTTACCAGAGTATGGTTTCTGATTATAATCATGTGCACACGATGTGGTCCCTTTATGACTACAGTGTTCTCATCATCTGATGGCTGCTTCCAGCAGGGTATCACACCATGTCACAAACCTGAAATGATCTCAATCCAGTGTACT